CCATGTTTTCTTGATGACTCAGGATCATCATTATCAACATTATTTATTTTATTACCATAAAGCTGGTATCTCCTGAGGCCTACAAAACCGTTTTACTCCTACTTAAATTGACTTGCCCTTCAGAGCTTTAAAAATTCTTCTCTCTGCTTTTTAGAGTTTTCTTTCGTCATTGTCAGACAGATTGTCAGCTGTCATTTCTGCTATTTTCATGTGCCTGCTTAAAGAATCTTCACCCTTCTTTCTTTATGATTTCCTGTCTATAATCTGTTTTGATTCAGAAAACCTCTAACCAAGGAAGTAAGAACAATGTATAAATTTGCAACATATATAGAACCTGAAGGTGTACCTGAGGCATACTTTTTTTGAGTAAAGTGCATTGACTATGTACTATTTATTTTTACACTATTTTTTTTCAAGATAAATGATACCTCTGTGATGTTACTATATTTAAGACTCTAGGGAAACTGTAAGACTAAGAATTCCTATGTTCTCAGTTGAAGGCACTGCCAATTTTCCAGAGAATAATTTGCCAAGGTTGTCAGAACAGCTCCTTTTGCAAGTACTGGGTATTGATACATAATGTCCCTTTTTATTCAACTGTACATATTGCCAATATGTCCTTTAGCAGATCTGACTATTATGTAATCATCTGTTCTCTGGACACTGGATTATTTAAATGAAAGCTATTGATATAATACCTTAAAATAAATTTGGCCACAACAGTAGCAAGTTCTATAATTTTTCCTAGTTTCTGACTGACGAAAAAAAAGATGCTACTAAGACACGTAATGAAAACAAAAATCCTTACAACTGGACCAATAAGTAATATCATGATAAACGGAGAAAAGATTGAAGTTGTCAAGGATTTCATTTTACTTGAGTACACAATCAACACCCATGGAAGCAGCAGTCAAGAAATCAAAAGATGCATTGCATTGGGCAAATCTGATGCAAAAGATCTCTTTAAAGTGTTGAAAAGCAAAGATGTCACCTTGAAGACTAAGGTGCACCTGATCCAAGCCATGGTGCTTTCAATCACCTCGTATTCATGCGAAAGCTGGACAATGAATAAGGAAGACCGAAGAAGAATTGACACCTTTGAGTTATGGTGTTGGCGAAGAATACTGAATATACCATGGACTGCCAAGAGAACAAACAAATCTGTCTTGGAAGAAGTACAACCACAATGCTCCGTAGAAGAAAGGATGGCGAGACTACGTCTCACATACTTTGGACATGTTATCAGGAGGGATCAGTCCCTGGAGAAGGACTTAATGCTTGGTAAAGTAGAGGGTCAGCAAAAAGAAGAAGACCTTCAATGAGATGGATTGACACAGTGGCTGCGTGAATGAGCTCAAGCATAGCAACAATTGTGGGGATGGCGCAGGACCAGGCAGTGTTTTGTTCTGTTATACATAGGGTCACTATGAATTGGAACAGACTCAATGGCACCTAACAACAAAAACAACAAGGTACATTTATAATTAAATGTGCAAAGACCTGTAGTTAGAAAACCAAAAGGGAAGAATATGCTGGTCATTTTTCAAGCTAAAAGAACTGAAGAAAAAATTCAAGCTTTGAGTTGCAATTTTGAAGGATTCTGTGGGTAAAGAACTGAATGACCCAGGAAGCATCAAAAGAAGATGGAAGGAATATGCAGTCACTATACAAAAAAGAACCAGTCAACGTTCAGTCAATTGAGCAGGTAGCGTATGATCAAGAACCGATGATACTGAGGGAAGAAGTCCTAGCTGCACTGAAGGCATTAGCGACAAACAAGGCTCCAGGAATTGACAGAATACCAACTGAGATGTTTCAACAAATGAATGCAATACTGAAAACGCTTACTAGTCTACACCAAAAAATTTGGAAGATAGCCACCTGGCCAACCAACTGGAAGAAATCCATATACGTGGCCATTTCAGAAAAAGATGATTCAATGGAATATGGAAATTATTGTATAATGTCATTAATATCACACTCAAGTAAAATTATGCTGAAAATAATTCAAACACAGTTGCAGCAGTACATCGACAGGGAACTGCCAGAAATTCAAGCAGGATTCAGAAGAGGACGTGGAAAGAGGGAAATCATTGCTGATGTCATATACTTTTATTGACTGTGCAAAGGCATTCGACTATGTGGATCATAATAAATTATGGATAATATTGCAAAGAATGTGAATTCTAGAACACTTCATTGTGCTCATGTGGAACCTGTACATAGACCAAGAGGCAGTTGTTTGAACAGAACAAAAGGATACTGCATGGTTTAAAATCAGGAAAGATGTGTGTCAGGGTTGTATCCTTTCACATACTTATTCAATCTGTATGCTGAGTAAATAATCTGTGAAGCTGGACTACATGAAGAGAAATGCAGCATCAGGATTGGTGGAAGACTCATTAATATGCAGATGACACAACCTTGCTTGCTGAAAGTGAAGAGGAGTTGAAGCACTTACTGATGAAGATCAGAGACTACAGACTTTAGTATGGATTATACCTCAACATAAAGAAAATAAAAATCCTCACAACTGGGCCAATAAGCAACATCATGATAAATGGAAAAAAATATTGAAATTATCAAGGATTTCATTTTACTTAGATCCATAATTAATGCCCATGGAAGCAGTAGTCAAGAAATCAAATGACACATTGCATTAGGCAAATTTGCTGCAAAAGACCTCTTTAAAGTGTTAAAAAGCAAAGATGTCACTCTGAGGACTAATGTGTGCCTGACCCAAGCCATGGTATTTTCAGTTGCCTCATATGCATACGAAAGCTGGGCAATGAATAAGGAAGACTGAAGAAGAATTGATGCCTTTGGATTATGGTGTTGGTGAAGAATACTAAATATATCATGGACTGCCAGAAGAATGAACAAATCTGTCTTGGAAGAAGAGACAGAATGCTCTTTAGAAGCGAGGACGGCAAGACTTTGTCTCACCTTCTTAGGACATGTTATCAGGAGGGATCAGTCCCTGGAGAAAGACATCATGCTTGGTAAAATAGAGCGTCAGTGTCTTAGTTACCTAGTGCTGCTATGACAGAAATACCACAAGTGAATGACTTTAACGAAGAGAAATTTATTTTCTCACAGTCTAGTAGTCTAGAAGTCCAGATGCAGAGCATCAGCTCCAGGGGAAGGCTTTCTCTCTTTTTCGGCTCTGGAGGAAGGTCCTCGTTGTCATCAATCTTCCCCTGGACTAGGACCTTCTCTGCGCAGGAACCTCCGGTCCAAAGGACGCACTCTGCTCCGGGCACTGCTTTCTTGGTAGTTTGAGGTACCCCCCTCTCTGCTCATTTCCCCTTCCTTTTATCTCTTGTAAGATAAAAGGTGGTGCAGGCCACACACTAGGGAAACTCCTTTACATTGGATCAGGGATGTGACCTGAGCAGAGGTGTTACATTCCACCCTAATCCTCTTCAACATAGTCCAGTCTTGCCTCATTAACCGCAGGCAGAAATTAGGATTTACAACATATAGGAAAATTATATCAAACACAAAATGGAGGACAACTACACAATACTGGGAATCATGGCCTAACTAAGTTGACAGATATTTTAGGGGGACACAATTCAATCCATGACAGTCAGCAAAAGAGGAAAATTCTCAATGAGATGGATTGACACAGTGGCTGCAACAATGGGCTCAAACGTAGCAATGCTTGTGAGGATGGTATGAGACCTGGCAGTGTTTAGTTTTGTTGTACATAGGGTTGCTATGAGTTGGAACTGGCTTGATAGCACCTAACAACGGCAATAACAAGGCACTGCAGATGTACTTTAAGAGTGTTACATCTGGGATAACCTGAGTTCAGATTTATAACCTCAACAGTAAGTAGTTAGCATTTCTGGCCTTTCTTGCAACCTGAAATACTTTTCCAATTTAAAATTTACACATAAGTTCCTATTTGATTTATACCTTAATATAAATGCATAATACAATGAGTTGCCAAGGAGCAAACTGTATTAAAATGGATAATAAGACACTGAAGCTAAACAATCCATTTCCCACATTATTCCATTTTCTTTGTGTCACCTCTTTTCATGTAAGCTTCAACAAATACATCTTAGCTAGGAGATAATCGTTTTGTCTTAGTAATTAGAGATGCAATTAAAAAGGAGCAGTGTCCTTTCCCATTTCAATACCTAGGATATAGAATACACAGGAAATCCACCCTTCCCCCACTCAGTTTCAACTTCCTCTACTTCACTCCACAACACCGCTGAAATGTCTTTAGGCATAAAGTCGGAAGACATTTTTAGTTAATTTGCTTGGCTGCTCTGCAGCACTTGATAAATTATAATACTGATCAATTATCATGTTTGGTAAGATAGACCAAAAAGCCATTGCCATGGAGTCGATTCCAACTCATAGCAACCCTATACAACAGAGTCGAACTGCCCCGTAGGGTTTCCAAGAAACAGCTGATGGATTCTAACTGCTGACCTTTTGGTTAGCAGCCAAGCTTTTAACCACTCAACCACCAGGGCTCCTTGGTAAGGTAGAGGCTCAGCAAAATTGAAGGAAAACCTCAATGAGATGGACTGACACAATAGTAAAAGCAATGCTCTCAAACATATCAAATATGATGAAGATAGTGCAGGTGCAGCCTTACATAAGGGCGCCATGAGTCGGAGTCAATGGCAACTAACAACAACCTCCTTGCAATGCAGCCAGCCATCATGTATCGAGCCAGTTCAGGATGCCTTGACTTCTATGACATGCTCTCCTGGTTTTTCTTTTACTTCCTGGAACCTCAGTTACCTTGCCAGCCCCATTCCTCTGCCCACCTCTTAAACATTGATGTTCCTAAAGGTTCTTTTCCAGGCCCTTTTCTCCCAATAAACAGTCTCCCTAACTTTAATTATCCACTGTGTGCTGAAATTTTACAAACGTAAATCTGGAGTCCAGAACTCTTTCCTACTCAATAATTGACATCTCTACTCAATAATTCTATGTTGTTAGATGTGTGACACTTCTTTTTCTGTCCACAGGCAACAGGTCCTCAGGGCTTATTGAAAGAAGGTGCCAAAGCCTCTCTTCAGAAAAGCTTCAGGATTCTTAATGAAGCCAAGAAGTTAGCAAATAATGTAAAAGGTTAGTGTGGCATCTGTTTATTACTATTTTCAGGTTAAATGTAGTTGTTGGTAGGAGATTTTCTCATGCTATTGAAGGAATGCAATTGTTTCAGCATGATTTTTTATGATTATTTTATTGTCTGGATTTAACACAAGTGATAAATTTTCTCGATAGTTTTATAGTATTTTATCTTCATATCTAATTTTGCATTAGGTAATATTTAATCTTTTTTTATTGTACTTCAGGTGAAGGCTTACAGAACAAATAGTTTCTCATGAAATAGTAGTACACATATTGTTTTATGACATTGGTTAACAACCCCACAACATGTCAACCCTCTAACTTCTCAACCTTTTTTGGTGAAAATACACATAGCCAAAGATACACCATTTCAAAAATTTCTACATGCACAGTTCAGTGACATTGACTACACTCTTCCAGTTGTGCTGCTATTCTCACTTAAGATGAAGGCTTACAGAACAAAATAGTTTCTCATTTAACAGTTACTACACATGTTGCCCTATGATAATGGTTAACAATCTCACAACACATCAACAATATCCTTACTCAACCTTGTGTTCCCTATCACCAGCTTCCTTGTCCCCTTCTGCCTTCTGGCCCTTGTCACTGGACTACTGTACCTCATTAGTCCCATTTGGTTTTACGGGGCTGTCCACTCCCAGGCTGTAACTTCACCACTGAGCTAAAAGGGTGTCTGGGGGCCATACTCTTGGGGTTTCTCCAGTCTCCTTTAAGCCAGTAAATCCGGTCTATTTTTTTGTGTGTGAGTTAGAATTATGTTCTATATCCTTCTCCAGCTCTGTCCAGAACCCTCTGTTGTGATCCTGGTCAGAGCAGTCAGTGGTGGTAGCCAGGCACCATCTAGCTGTACTGAACTCAGTCCGGTGGAAGCCTTGGTAGCTGTGGACACTTAGTCCTTCGGACTAATCTTTTTCTTGTATCCTGTTCTCTTCATTCTCCCTTGCTCCCGAAGGGGTGAGACCAGTGGAGTATCTTAGATGGCTGCTCACAGGCTTTTAAGACCCCAGACGCTACTCACCAAGGTAGAATGTAGAACATTGTCTTTTTAAACTGTGTTATGCCAGTTGAGCTAGATGTTCCCTGAGACCATGGTCTCCACAGCCCTCTGCCCAGCAATTCAGTCCCTCAGGGAGTTTGGATGTGTCTATGGGGCTTCCAAGACCTTTCTCTGTATATTTAATCATTTTTAAACCTAACTTCTTTAACATCAGTTCACCTATATTTAAAGTATAGTAATTTTTAAAATAAACTATAAGTGTTTATGAACACCAAAACTTGCTTTGTTTTCGCTTCAGAAGTGAAAAGTCAACAAGAAATGAGTCAGGCAGATGTAGTATAAATGTCTTTGTGAAACTTTCGATTTTGTTAGTGGAACACATTTCCTGAAAAGTTTTCAAAGTTTTTTAAATACATACATTTCTTTAATGTATTTTATTCCCAATTCAAGGATCAAAGTGCATAAACTATCTACCCTGATATTTTATGGATTTTGTGTGAAGAATATATTATTAAACATGGTTGTTTTATAAATTTGTACTTTGCAGATTTATACATTTGAATATCTAGAACTGCCTCGTTTCTCTCTCCAGTTTCATCCCTTACCATTTTCTGGTATGCCCCAATCTCCCTATCCTTACCTAATTTTCATGAGCCCTCCAAAACATCCTACCATTGCAAACCACTTTGTTTTCATGATGTTATTCCTTTTCCTTGGAATGCCTCATTTCCCATCCTCCTTCATCTAACTCCCTTCTACTAGACTATAATATTTAGTCCAAATGTAATCTTCTCCAGGAAATTTAACACCCCATCCAATTTGCATGCCCCCCACTCTGTGTATAAGAGCCTTTGATGGTGCACTGGTTAAGCACTCGGCTGCTAACCTAAAGGTCAGCCGTTTAAACCCACCAGCTGTTCTGTGGGAGAAAGATATGGCAGTCTGCTTCCATAAAGATTTACAGCCTGGGAAACCTTATGGAGCAGTTGTATTCTGTCCTATCCAGTTGTTATGAGTTGGGATCGGCTCCATGGAAACCGGTTTGGTTTGGTATTCTGTGAATACCTTTCTCACAGACTTGCCAAACCACTGTAATCATGGATTTATTTTTCTATCTTCCTGAGGACAGAGATAGAGTTTTTTGACTTTGTATTTCTAGTGCATATCATCGTGACTAACTCAAATTATGAAATAATTATAACTTTTTTTCCTTTTTACATAAAGCAATGTTGTTGGTCTTTACTTATCTTGAGAAGATAGTTTATAATCAATTTTATTTGGCATACTTTAAACTAATAGTCTTTGGTCTCCAGTAAAGGTGGATATGAAATTATAAGATCTGTCTCCATTATAGATGGCACTTTGATAGTAAAATGCTTTGGACTGTGTATTACAGATGAAATAAGACTATCTACAAATTCTGTGCAAGAGGTAGTTCTAACTGCAACCTAAAGAGCGACTCAGAAAAGCCAAAACCTGGTTTCCTATTGGATAAGTGGAGTAGATCTGTGATCACTCCTTCCTATCCAAGGAGCCCTGGTGGTGCAATGGTTGAGCACTCAACTGCTAACCGGAAGATTGGCTGTTCAGACCCACCTAGCAGCTCCACGGGAGAAAGACCTGGTGATTTGCCTCCATAAAGATTGCTGTTGTTGTTGTGTGCCATCCAGTCGATTCTGCCTTATAGCGACCCTGTATGACAGAGTAGAACTGCCCCATAGGATTTCCTAGGCTGTAACCTTTATGAAAGCAGACTGCCATATCTTTCTCCCCCAGGGCAGCTGGTGGGTTCCAGAACCTCCAACAGTTCGGTTTGGAGCTGAGCACTTAATCACTGCACCGCCAGGGCTCCTAAAGTTTACAGCCTAGGAAACCCTTTAGGGATGTTCTTCTGTGTCACATGGAGTCACTGTGAGTTGAAATTGACTTGATAGCACTCAACAACAACCTTCCTATCCATAATACCTTTGCCCAAGGTTGAGAACAAGGTGAGTTAGGTAAATGAAATGAGTCATTCAGGTTCAGGGATGAATCCCGTCTTTATTTAAAATTTTGGTATCTTTTTTTCATCATGAATTTTTTGCATTAATTTTTATTTTTTAAAATAATTCTTTAAGACATTTTTATCTTGACTACTGAGTTTTTTGGTGCCTCTTTCAATTTCATACCTGAGGTGAGTAACTCACTCACCTCACCCTATTCCCATCCCTTTCCTTGCCTCTATTTCCTCCCATAAACACTGGTATTATAAAAGTAAAGAATTCCATTTTTAGAGATTTTTTTCCAAGGGAAAAAACTAATTTTTCTAAGGGAAAGATAAATCTAATGACAGCCATGGTAGAAAGGGTTAGGAAACAGAAATTTTCATTAGTTTAAATGTCTTTTTTTATACTTCAGGTAGTACATTATTTAAAGTAATGAAAACCCACAAAGTCCTCAAGTAATAATTCCTCCAGAAAACCAAGCCAAGGCTGTGATGGAGATGGGAATGTTTTCTTGCTACATTATGACATTTCCCTGATTTGTGGCCAATTACACAAGTTATAAAATGGCTGTTAATCAGGAAAATGCCATATATTACCACCAGGAACTGCTGAAATAGGCCCTACAGAGCAAAACTCTTGACAGCAGCTATTAAAATAGAGATTTAGTCATTTTTCTCTATATGGTGCCTGGAGTTAGAAGGAATAAAAATGGTGAGGCCAGTGTACCCTCCGTATTAGTAATTCTTTACTTGGTTCAGTTCAGTCCAATTTGGTTAGGTAGTTCATGAGCTTTAGCCATGAATGACTTAGTGCTGCTCCTTGCCATTTTTATGCTGTCCTTGCCTTGAGGGAGCCTGCACTTGCCAGGAGCAATTTGTCTTGCTTTTTAATTTTTGAAATACATTTGTTAAAGGTAAATTTGCCCTTGTGCGAGTCTGAGATTTGAAGCTAGTCTACATTACACTGATTGACTGTCTGTGGAGACAAAAATCATTTTGTTGATGGATATGAGGCTTGGTACGAATTGATGATCAGAAGAGTTAGAAGATGAATGAATACCACTAGATGAATTAATACTGCTTTGTAGACGGATAAGAAATTTTGTCAATACTATAGGAGCCAGTTGAAGTTCTCATGAAATGTGTGTAGGGCAAGGGATGGAGTACAGGATAGAATATTAGAAGTCTGATAATACTAAGGTTTTAAAATTAGACACCCTATCTTATATAGAGTAACTTTCTTTTGACTTAATTTACTCCTAATTTTTGTCTTTGCCAAAAATAAGTGAAATTATTTAATTACTTAGGAAGAAATGAATAACGTTTCTGTAAAATGGATGATACTCACATGAAACAAAAAAATCAGTTCCCAAGTTCAGAGATATTAAATGAGTATATTGCATGACACATAGTGATGCTCAACACACAGAACAGTACCAAACATTATTCCACTCATTAATTGTTGTCAAACCAATCAACACTTCCCTTCTATACTGTGGTTCTCTAAACACTCGGTCATTTAGTCCAGAAAGATGTGTCAAAAAGGATCTGTGATCATGCATGCAATATACTTGCAATTACTAATCTGTTGAGATTCTATGTTATTATTTTATAGTACAAAAAGAGAATAAACAGAAATACTATAGTGCTGTTAAACAAAAGTATGATACAAGTGTTAAATTTTGACTAAAGCATTATTTTGTTATTAAAGATATACCTTTTGAAATCTCATGCTGTCAGTTATCTGAATCAGCCTATCCATAGATAGCTCTGTGAAAGACAAACAAAATCTGCTCCATTGACAAATAATAATGGACTAAATTGATGAAATCAAGCCAGAGATTCCTGACCTATCATAATCTTGAGAACAAAGCAATATTTTTCCTGTGATGAAATTGCTAATTCCTCCCATAGAGTTTTTGTTCTCCCTTTGGAGTGTGAACAGAAAAAGTCAAAGCAGTAAAACCAAGATGGAATGAGTTTAGGAGGAAAAAT